AGTATCAATTTTAATACTCAAATAGTTTGAAGCAATTTGACAATGATCATATTCCAAACTATAAAGGACAGATCAACAGAAACTTATTAATTTTCTTTATGAACCATATAGACTTTATTTCACATTTCTCAAAAACAATCTCTACGTGGAGATAAATCTTCATTAATAACACCGACGACTCAAGAAATTTTAGGAATTTCAGAGACCACCAGGAACATACAGCTTCTGGACAAAAAATGATCTTTCTTGTTTTACATATTTTTTATTACAAGTTGAAACACCAGGAACGACAGAATTTCATCATGTCCCTTTGTAATATGCATATCGCTCTACAAAATAAATATTTATTGAAGGGGAAAAAATTGACATATAATAATTTAAATTTTCTCCTTTTTCACATACACACCATTGGGGATGCAGAAAGTAGCAAACTTCTCTTGCTAACCATATAAAGTAGATAGAAAGAGAAGAAAGAAAGAAAAAAAAAAAGAACTGACATCAACCAGTACAGAAAATGAAAAAAAAAAATAATAATAATATGAAATACAAATATGAAAAATTGCCCGGAATTTTAAATATACTGATTACATTACAGAAATTCCTATACAAGGAGCATCATTACATTGAATGAAATTAAGCATAATAATTGAGATTGGCTTTCTCTTGGCTTGGACTTCCATGATGGCGTCCATGAAGTCCTCGTGGGTCACCGTCGTCGCTTGTCTTCGTAGGGCGATCATACCCTGGGGGAGGGAGAGAAAAGTCGCTCATGAGCATCGTCTATTGATGGGGATTTGTGGAGTAAAAGACTAAGGAGAGAGGGCGAGAAAGGAGAGAAGGAGAGGCGAGAGAGAGAGGGCGAGAGAGAGAGGGCGAGAGAGAAGAGAGAAGAGAAGAGAGAAGAGAAGAGAGAAGAGAAGGAGAGAGAGAAGAGAGAGAGAGAGAGAGAGAGAGAGAAGAGAGAAGAGAGGAAGAGAAAGAGAGAAGAGAGAAGAGAGAAGAGAGAAAGAGCGAAGAGAGAAGAGAGAGAGAGGAGAAGAGAGAAGAGAGAAGAGAGAAGAGAGAAGAGAGAGAGAGAGAAGAGAGAAGAGAAAGAGAAGAGAGAGAGAGAGAAGAGAGAGAGAGAAAGAGAGAGAGAGAGAGAGAGGAGAGAGAGAGAGAGAGAGAGAGAGAAGAGAGAGAGAGGAGAGAAGAGAAGAGAGAGAGAGAGAAGAGAGGAGAGAGAGAGAGAGAGAGAGAAGAGAGGAGAGAGAGAGAGAGAGAGAGAGAGAGAGAAGAGAGAGGAGAATCCAATAATTTCTCAAATGTAGCTAACAGACAGGGCACTACTTACTGCTTCCACACACACAGCCTTGCACTGAGCACCATTGAAGTCATCTGTTGACCTGGCCAGCTCCTCGAAGTTCACACAGGAGGAAATATTCATTTTGCGCGAGTGGATCTGCATGATGCGGGCACGGGCTTCCTCATTGGGGTGGGGGAACTCGATTTCCTGTCCAGACGACCAGATCTCAGCAAGGCAGGATCCAGGATGTCGACACATTGTAAGCAGCAATGACCTGACCAACATACAGAGTCATATGAAGTTTGAAAGAAAAATACGTACATAGATTAGGTGTGTAATAATGAGTACAATTACCGGATAAACCACCACACTGACCTTGATGTCTGTTGTTGATGAGAAACCATCGAGCTGATTCAACAATTCCAACATAGTTCTCTGTACTTCTCGATCACAGCCTTTTCACTGTCAAATCTTTGGTACCTGTCAAAAGAAATAAAAAATGATGTAAAAATACTTGGTAATAGCACAAACAGCAAATTACAGAAGCATTCAATCTCTAGACAAAAATTACATTACATCTACAGCACAAAGATCTTTAATGTCCATATAAGGTGAATACTACGACCCAAGTTAAACTCGATCTCAACTCAGAACAAGTTTCCAAAATATATAATACAGATCAAACTAACAACATAGCACATCCTACCCAGCAGAAGCAGCACTCACCAATGGCATCCAATTCATCAATGAAAATGATAGCGCGGGGCCTTCTCTTGGCCAGAGCAAAGGCATCTCGAACCAGCTTTGCACGTCACCAATGAACATCTGCACCAGCTGTGGACCGGCCAGCTTCAGGAAGGTGGACTTTGTCTGGGCAGCGCAGGCACGGGCCAAGAGCGTCTTTCCAGTGCCAGGAGGGCCATACAGAAGCACTCCCTTTGGTGGCTGGATACCTGAAAACCACAAATTACCATTTATTTTTATGACAAAGTATAGACTCTTGGGCTTTTTTTCTTCATTTGCCTTAAAGAGAAAGTTTCCTTGTGATATTTCAAATAACAATAAAAGTTCTGTAATGAAATTCATCTTCAAGATAATATACATATATTTTCCTTACGTATTCCAAGCAGCTTATTTCATACCTAGATTCTCAAAACGCTCCTTGTGTGTGACGGGCAGGACGACAGCCTCAATAAGCTCCTGGATCTGCTTGTCCAAACCACCAATGTCGCTGTACTGTTCAGTGGGCCTCTCGTCGACCTCCATGGCCTTTACTCGGGAATCGTACTCTGCCGGGAGCGTCTCCAGAATCAGGTACGAGTCTTTGTTGACACCCACAAGGTCACCTGGCTTGAGGGTCTCTGCATCAACCAGGCCAATGACAGGCAGGAAGTAAGTCTGTCTGGTGGAGGTCTTGATGACGGCACACTTGCCCTTCCGCTGTGAGTCCAGGTCGACGTTGGCTCCGTCTTCCTCGCCATATTCGTTAGGGTCTACATCTAAAATCTAAGAGAGGAGTAAATATAGGATTAATGATTATAAATCTAGCTTCAAAGTCGTTATAGTCTGTTGCCTGCTTTTTCTCATTCATGTGTCCAATCTCATGTCTATCAATTCACAAATGATCTGTATACACTATGAAATCATTCCACAATAAAGAAATCTAGCAACCCGTGTGGTGTGAAAAAACGACTTACAGAAAAAAAATAATAAATAAATAAAATAAAATAAATAATAAATAATTAAATGAATCAAAGTTTATGTATCATTTACTTTTCTATATCAAGCTTAAAAACAGAATAAGGCAAATGACATCAACTTACCTCAATAACGTTTGACACAAGGTAGGGTAGCGTCTTGTTAACTTTAATCTTCTCAGTGTTTTCTCTGATCTTGTCGCGCTGACTCTGGATCTCGTGTGATATTCTTGTTAGTTCTAACCGCATGATGCGAATCTCATTCTCCCAGCAGCCTCGTCCTTGATAACCACATCATCAGCTGACATAGACGACACTTCACGCATGGCAGGCTACAAAGACAGAAAAAAAAAGTAAGGCAACTGGGCTTTTCCCATTACATGTAGCCTATTCTAGCAAGACACTCCTTGTAAACCTCCCTGGTATCTGCTGTCAAATAAAGACTCATTCCACATCTTATTGGTATAGTTCTGCTTCACAGAGCCATAGGGTCTATAAAGTCCATAACGATAAAAATATGAATCCTCAGTCGATAATACACAAGTGTTGCAACACATAATACTTTGGTTTATATGTAGACAGTGACTGCATTAAAGTCAGGAAAATCTAATGACACTCATTGAGACAGGAAAAACTACAGTCACTGACACATGAAATGAGCTGCATTGGCAAATAATAGTAACAGAAATGAAGTAAAGAGACTGA